TACAGTGGATCTTCTGTTCTAATTTGCACAACACTTTGCTAAACTTATCTTGGGTTCAAACACTTGAAAATTCAGGTGAAAAGTGTTTCCATGTGCATGGTAAGACTGAGTTGGCTAAAATTTACTTAAGAACTTCAGTTAAATGTGTGTTATAGCATGCAAGATCCACCAATCTCATGTTAAGATGTTGGAATTCTTCCATTGAGAGCTAGTATTCAAGTAAGTATTCAGGTTGCATAGAAGCCAAAGATGGAATAGGGGTTTGGATAGTTTCTGTTTGTAATTTGTCTCAAAGAGAAAACACTTTAAGGATTCTTTAATTTTTGTTAATTTTTTTTTTTTTTTTTTGAATGGAAAATGATATTTCTGAGCTAAAACAGCCATTAAAAAGTAAATAACAGTTGATTTGTCTTTAATTATTGCTGTATGTTTATTGCACCTCTGCTTGTTACCTCTGTTTTTAAATTTTTTCCTATCAGACTTTTTTTTCTACTGAGTAGATCCTATTCCTTATGATTGTGGTATTGATACCTTCCTTCAAAGCCTCTTTTCAGCTATCTAATACCTGTTATGGCCTTCTTTCATCCTTGGACCTGCCACTGTTTGAGATCTCTCCCTTTGCATCTGCTCCTTTTTGATGACACCAGTCTTGGCCAAGTTCTGAATGGAAACTCAAGACTCAGTGCAGTCCGCCTCTGACCTGTAGTTTAGAACAATGATTGATTGCCTAGTAAAATTGCTCATTTCTTCTTACCTTCTGAAGAGCAATTATCTACATATGTCCTTGTACAACCAGCCAAGTGTTCTCTCGCAAAGATGGACTACTTCATTCTTCAGCAAGTGTGGAATGTGCCTTAGATCTTAGGAAAAATTATTTACCTTTAGTCCTGAATGGACTGAATCTGAATGATACAGCGGAAGACGAAATTTGAAAGTTACTACCCACATTTTTTTGCTGTCTAACAGCATCAGCTGCCTTGGCACTCTCATAATCCCTGCACAATTTGACAGACATTTAATATTAGTGTTAGGGTGTCTTTCTATCAACAAAGCTCTCTCAGAGTCAGCTTTTTCTCAGATAGCAGTCTTCTGCTGCTTGTCACCTGATTTTGGGGTGGTGAATCAGCAGGCTGGAAGAAAGGCAGTACTGTTCATGCACCCTTTTCCTGTAAGTGGAAGGAGGTCAAAATTGCCCTCTGCAGTATCTGAGGCACGGACTCAGATGAGAACAATTCAAACTGTCTATTACAGATTCTAATATCCTTTATGTACATTCACTAGTTTTCTCTTCTAACTTTCCCACTCGCCCTTATGTCAATAAAACATTCCACAAACTGTCCTTAACCATGCATGCAAACACTTATCCAGTCAGTCATGAGCTGCTCCTAGCCGTGTGCTCGTCCTCCAGTCAGGGTCATTATCACTCAGCAATCTCATACCTCACATGCTTTTTGTTTTGGCTCTTCTGGAGGTGTCCTTGGTTCTTAGTCTTGCTTTCTCCTGCTGTTTATCTTGCTCCACAGCTTCTGCTCTCAGTAGTCTTTCTTGTATTCCCACAACCCTCCACCAATGAAAGGACCACAGTCTATGTACCAAAAGATTTAAGTGCGTTCTTTCTTTCCTCTTCACAGAGTCTTTTTGTTCCTTTGCAGAAATTCTTCATACAAGTTTGTGCTTCAATGGGATGCCCGTATGTCCTGTTTTAGGAAGGCAGTATGGATGTCCTTTCTGGTGTGTGATTCTACTGCAGCTATTTCCTTGTAAAAGGATTTATATGCATTTAACTCAGACAAGCAGAAAAAATTGTATTTAGGTGAATGAGAGTAGCAAACACAGTGCAGGCTGTTCAAGAAGGAAATCGGTTTCTATCATGCAACTTGCTACATGCTTCCTTCTCCAGTTGGACTATAACATCATTATTATCTTCTGTTCATGGTGGGCTGAGATCAAATTGTAATGCTTTCAGTTACTCTGTGCATGATAGTCTATGAATTGGCTAGGATACAGTCAACAGCATTAAGCCATCACAGAGAGTTGTTGCCCTCTGTGTGATGCCACTTGGTTAAATGAGTTTTCTGAGTTCTTTGACCTCTTTGCATAACATCAGAAATAATATACATTCAGTAATTTTTTCTCATGCACTACTCTGTGGTGAGGGCTGATTTTACACTGGACTGATTAATGACACTGAAACTGGATTGAACATGTAATATAGAGAATCCTCCTGTGTACTCCGCATCTGTACAGAAGGCCACCGCAGAGAGGAAAGACAGGTGAAATACCAGTGAATACCTGTCCAAGATATTAGTTTAGTCAGGGCCTGCATCTGTCTCCGTTATACTTTCTTTTTTCCTCTTTCTGTGCCTTCTCCAGGTGCAGTTCAGTTGTTGACTGGCAGGAGCCCTTTGTGTGATAGGCCATGCACTGAGCAGCAAGGAGGGGCTGATGTGTACCCTTTTCCAGAAAGGTGTACCCAGCAGAATACTTTCAGGCTTTATTTTCCAGAGTAACTGTCTCATTTCTAGAATGTGTTTATCACTACATATATCAGCAGCGAAGGGCCTTTTTTACTGCCATAATGTGGAGTATATCTTTAATCTCCACAAAAACAAAATAGTGTTTTCCTCAAGAAAAAAGAATTTTCTCTTGCTTGAATTTTCTCTTACTTGATTTCTAAATATATCAATTAATGTTTTGTGGTTGGTTTTTTTTTTTTTTCACTTTAGGGAGGTTGTATGATGATTATAGTGTTGATTCATATAAGTATGCATTTCAAGCTACTACACTAGACTCATAGAATCACAGAATATCTCTTCTGGAAGGGATGCACAAGGATCATTGAGTTCAACCTCCAGCTCCATGCAGCACCACCCAAAATCCAAACCCTGTGTCTGAGAGCACTGTCCAAACATTCCTTCAACTCCAGCAGCTCAGGGCCATGCCCACCACCCCGTGCATCCCGTTCTGTGCCCACCACCCTCTGGTGCAGCCCCTTTCCCTGACCCCCAGCTGCCCTCCCCTGACGCAGCTCCATGCCGTTCCCTCGGCCCTGTCGCTGTCACACACAGCAGAGCTCAGCGCTGCCCTCCGCTCCCTGTGAGGAGCTGCAGCCGCCATGAGGGCTCCCCTCAGCTCCTCTTTATGACATTTGTAGAACATACATAGTTTGTTCTGAAGTTTGATAAGCGTGTATGTATGCATGTAAATCAAAGTATTCTGTTAAAGTCTTAATGATATGGTAAAAGAGGGATCTTTGAACTTAGTATCTTCTGCTCCCAGCTGAAATATATTTTGAATGATCACTTAAAGCAAAGATAAGTTTTCACTTCTCTCTGAATTCAGTTATATGTTCCAGCATTAATGTTACTGTGGCATACCTTTGGCTTCTGTCCTCTTCCTTTCAGTCTAATGAGGACAGTAAAGCTTGGGGGCAATCAAATAATTGGAAGGTTCCTTTCTTCCTGGAGAAAGGGGACAGGAGCATCACAAGGTTTTCAAATCACAGGAGACAGAATTAATGTTCGATTGATTTTTATTCTGTGACTCATGATTCTCACTTTCTCATTTGTTACTTCTGGCTTTCTGCAGAATTAGGCAGGTATTTCCCTACCAGTTAAACTCACTTTACATTATCAAGCTTCTGAGTAAAGGAGAACTCTCAGAATAGCTGAGTATCTTACTTTTTTGGATATTTAAGATTTGAAGTTGGAAATCCAATGATGCAGATATTGTTTACTCTTTATTCAGACAGGCAAGACTGCAGCAGGTGTAGTTATCAGTAGCACCTTCTTTTGCCATTCTTAAAAATACTAGGAACTGACATAGATACAGCTTTCTGGAACTTTGAGGAAACTCAGATGTCCATGCAACCCTCGCAGTTCAGTCTCTAAGGCTGCAGAACAAGAATAACAAATTAGGGAATTTTTATTCAGAGCTCAGCTCTGTTCTTCAGTTCTGTGTCCATTTAAAAATGATTTCTGAATACCTAAAAAAATAATGTAGCAACTTTGAGGGAAAAGGGTGTCTCTGAGTACAAGGTAGGAGAGATTTGACATATGAAAGTGCATAAAAGTGCATTTCAATCAATTTCTATTTGTTTTCATCTTTGGATCTTCTCTTTCAAACTACTCTGGCTCTCATTCTGACACTTTCCATGTAAACTGTTCTGCTGATGCTACATCTGCAACACAACTCCATACAAACATGGTATCAGCTCAATACCATTTGCGTAGAAGTGCAAATTTATTACATTGCAGGAAGTTATAAAAATAAAATAGTTGTAGCCGTGTGGTATGGTAATACTGGATTGGAAACAACTCACTATGTCTTATACTCTGACTGTGCTCAAAGCAGAATTCTGTGGATTATGTGACTTGACTGTGTGTTATAACTACAGGCATTAAACTTTCAAAATAGTATGTTAAGTTTCTTCTTTTAACTATCGAATGCTTATAGGTGTAATACTTGCTGATATTTGTTCACTGACAGTCTCACTTGTTTTCAAACCCCACATATTTAAACTTGTGCAATGTGAGATTGATGTTTCTTTTCACTCAAATGTCATATTCATCAATGGTATTATGCTAGCAGATTGTTAAACAGACAGGGTGACTTGCAAAGTGACAGTGTAGGGATGTGATGTCCCAAGCCATTGAAATATAGTAATGATGTGGATTTTTTTTTCGTAGTGTTCAATCAGTTTTTGCAAACAGTGGTTTTTCTATAAAATGCAGGTGAGAAGGTTTCTGAGTAGTTCCTTAGAAAAAATCCTAGTTAATGAATAACAAAACCTAGCATTCATTTATACTTTCCCACAGAGATGACAAATGCGAAAGACTTAGGAAGAGCTAATGTGACAGTGTTTTATAATGAGAAAAGGATACATTATGACATAGCAAAAAATGAAGTTACTTGATATACTATGCTTTTCTACATTTTCGATTTTCCAGTACCATATTTTAAGGAAAAGTAAAACTTATTCCGTAATTTTGCTTTAACAGCCTCACAAGAATACCACAAAAAAGGAAGGAACTTTTGTTTAACATTGTATCAACTTAAATGTCTTTCTCAACTCATCAAACTCTTTCTATTCATGGAAGAAAAAATTGAAGAACTCTGTGCAGAAATTCTGTTGATGCCTTTGTTTACTGAGAAGAATAAGAATGTTCAAGGTAATGAATGCTTTTCCTTGTTTATTGATTGTACTCGGTGCAAAAGAACAATTTGGTATGATTTTCAAAATTACTTACCTAATTTATGCCATCATATTATATAAGAGTATTACCATATCCACTGCAAATCTTTTTGAAATAAGCAAATTTACCTCTTAGCACAATGATTTGTAGAAAAGAACTGATGATTGTAAAGATGTGATATGCAGTAGTTATTGATGAAGAACGATCAAACACTGACTTAGATTGAATTTCTTGTAAATAACTACATGTCGTATAGCACAAAGCAATATATGAATTCTTTGTACCTATTTCTGAACCTGCCTTTCAAAGCTGCCTTTTTCAAGAGGAAAAAACAGACTTATGCAACACTTCTATTGTTCTTAAATGATACAAATATTTTAATATGAGTCCTGCTTATTAGTGTCGTGCTTATCCCACTTGCTTCAGTGGCTGTTTTTATAGAACTAGGCTCTACAACAGAATGTAAAATTTTCACAGTCAAACCTGCATTTTGTATTTGCTTTAGATTCTGTTTTTCGTAAGATTGCATTCATGTCAGATGAGGACAATGTGAAATCATGAAAATTAAGGTGATTAACACTTTCCATATCACAGCATACCCCAAAATATTCTATTTCGCACTTCTACCAGCTGAGAGATTGCAGGTCACCAGAGAATAAGTGGTTTCAAGAGCTTTGAGTATATTGTAGGAAAAGATCAGATCAGAAATGAGGCCAGGCTGCTCAGGGGGAAAGGACAGATGGAGTAAATGTTTAATGTTTCTGTAGTCAAGCTACAGGCTGAGAAGCAAGGTGTTTTGGAAGTACGTTCTCAGAATACTAAATTGATGCAAACAAGCAAACAAACAAAAAAGCACAACATGAAACAACAGGAGTTCAGAAACACATGTTTTGTTGGCAGGTTCTTCATCTGAACTCAGGTGCAGAAATGCAAGTTAACCTATGCTCAAAGGCTCAAAGTTTGCATTCAAATTCCATTTCTACTTTTGGTTTTAATATATTTCTGCCTCCTTTAATTTCTCAGTTTTATCAGTTCTTAAGAAATGGTAAGTTATTATACACTGTGTTTTAGGTTTTATGGCCTTAATCCTACAGAAATGTGTCATAGTAAGCTTCTCATGGGGTTAATTTGTAAGATAGACTGTACATTCAGTAAAGATGATTTTAGGTGTTCTTTTTATTTATTTTATGTGAAAGACCTTAAAAAGAAAGAAAGAAAGAAAGAAAGAAAGAAAGAAAGAAAGAA